TTTTCTTACAATTTACTATGTTCACATTTGATGTATTAATTCCTAGGTTTCTACAAATCTTGCATTTTCCATTGAGTTCTGGCTATTAAAATCTTGCCTGAAGTCAAAAACTGCAGACTTCCTATCTATTAATTGTGTGTAAAAAGAAACTCTGGAGAGAGAAGTCTTATTACAGTGTAAGACAGAGATGAGAGGCAGAGCAATGAAGCCATTCTCAAGAGCTTGTAGAAGATGAAGGCTGAGAACAGTCACAAGACTATAGATGAGACTACCCATGTGAGGATTTTTATTTGTAGCCATCCTATTCAATATTTTATAGCCTTTTGAAAAAAGCGACTTTGTAAGGTTATCTGAAGTCTCCTTAAAAACATTGAGATTTCAAAAATTTAGTATTATTTCCTGTGGTAGGAAACCTTGAATCCCAAAGGTTTGCATAATAATTGGTTGTCATGGGAAACCACATGATTGTAACTGGTGTCTGTAACTCCTTAAAGGTATATAAATAACCTAAATCCCTTTGTTCTGCAGAAGAGTCTGAAAATTCTACATCTGACTCTTCTCACTTAAGCCAGAAAAAAATTAATAAAGTCAGCGACTCTGGCAGACTCTGTCCTAAGACAACGCATTTGAGAAATTTAAATGAGATAGTTGGCAAATTTATCACATTCTCTCTGCCTTGCAAGCTTAGAAACCTAGATTAATCTTTCTTAGAGGTATTTACCCTTGTCACACAAGTTCAGAAGCCTAGGGTCATCTTTTATATGTAGACTCTTATTAACCATTCTCATAGAGAATGCCATATTTAAACAACATACTGGCTTGTTAATTTACTCTGGAACTCTTTCTGCAGAGGGGACTAGTTACTCACATTCTCTGGTCAGAGCACTTTTGCCCTGTAGGCAAGCTACTCAAGGAGTCAAATTATAATCAGAAGTTTGGTGTGTATTCGATCAAAATAAGGGCATTTGTTCATTTGAGTGGTCAATGGCTTCAGACTAAGTTAGAATGACACTCTCATCTTGCTCTCAGGACCAGAACATTTGATGGATTTTTTGGTCCACAGTCCTCTCTTCCATGGAGGATATTTGGAAGGACACTATAGGGTCTGTCTTTTTGGTTCTCTTTTTTCTATATTCATGCCTAACCATTAATTCCCCTTCTGATGAACACTTTCTTTAGATATTTTAAATACATTGACCTAGTCCCGAAAGGTATGGGTTCTTAACTATGGGTTTATCAATAACTGGATATTCTTGAATACCTGAAAAGTGAATGTGTATTTTATGTCTGTGAACATTTTCTCTAGAGGGGACTCACAGATTTTACCAGACTCTCAAAGTGATTTGTTATCAAAACAAGGTTAAGAACCAGAAATAGAAACAAAGTGAAGTCCTGCCAACCTGGGGACCCACTTAGAATGATTTTCTAGGTTTCTTTTTTTTTTTTTTAAAGTTTATTCATTTTGAGAGTGAGACCATGGGCGTGCATGCGCACGTGTGTGAGCAGGGGAAGAGCAGAGGGAGAGAGAGAATCCCAAGCAGGCTTCACACTCAGCACAGAGTCCAACTCGGGCTCCATCTCGCGACTTCAAGATCATGACCTGAGCCAAAATCAAGAGGCAGATGCTTAACGACTGAGCCACTCAGGCGCCCCTGATTTTCTATGTTCTACTCTGACTCATTATGTTCTGTTTTAAAGCATTAACTCTTCTGGGGCACTCTTGTTTCTATATTTAAGGGGAAGAGAGAGTTCCTCAATATAACCATGAAAGATTGGAGAGTCAGAAAGAAATGGGAGGATTTCTACAAGAAGGGATCAACGTGAGCCAAAAGAGAAGTGTCCTGTCCAATAGCATTTTAGATGGGTTAAAAAAAAAAAAATCCCAATTTACCCTGTTATTTTGAAAGTTCTAAAATTGATTTCTCTTCTAGTGGTTAGCCTGTATGTAGGTCAGAATGAGTAGGGATGGTTGCTTTAAATCTGGAAAAGCTGGAAAGCATGTATAGAAGTGGATTCAAAGTTAAGTGCATGCAGACCAAAGAGGTGAAATGTGAGTATGAACAGGCATAAACTTGTGAATTACTAATGTGGATTTAGGCTACACTCTTTAACTTGAGTACCCACAAGTGGTTTTAACAGCATGTTGGCTGGTTTATTGAAGCCTGGACTCAGTGCTGGCCTAGAGTCAATGAGGTTAAGGTATCAAAGGTCCAAGAGCTCAGGATAACGGGAATCTTGGGAGTGTACCTAGGTGTGTAATCTCAGCCACCCTCATCTGTAACCCTGGCAAGGTCCAGAGGCTGCTCCATTACCGCGGCATCAGCTACGCACAGGTGATGGAAGTACCCTGAAAAGCAAGGCCAAAGATGGTAGTGGGGGAGATACCACCTTAGAACTGGACTTTCTGATTTCAGTGGGACTAGAATTCTGGATTGCCAAAGGCCAGGTGGTGGCTCTTAACTTCAAGGTCAGGTTGGGTGAATTACCACAATAGGCTGCAGGGACAGAAAGACTCTTAGAGTGTTTGCACTTTCAGAGATCTGTGGTGGCAGCTAAATGATCACGGGGTTCTTAGGAATGAACAGATGGGCAGTCTACGAAGGTGTAGCTTTAGCTATATATTTGGAAAACAGAAGCCTGACTCAAGTTGCCACAGTGGGACTACACTGCCTCATATCCAATTATCAAACCAAGCCAGATCACAAGCCTAGAGCCCCTCCATCAAGGGGAAGGCTGGGTCCCTTCAAGGGACCTTCCAAGCCTCCCCTAGAAAGACTTACATCCAATTTTTAAAATAACAATGCAGTGGGAGGGAGCCAGTAGATACTGTTTCTTAGTTGAGGCTATTCATTTGGGGTACAAAATACCACCCAGGTTAGAATCAGAGTGTATATGTATACTAGTATATATATACGTGTGAAGTAGACATACTTGGTCATTGGCTGAATCCCTCCACTGGTTGCCTGATCCCTTCTTTTATTGTCTCTTATTTAATCCACTCTATGGCCTCTATGGCCTTACAACAAGAATGGTCTGGAGAGGAGATATGTAGATGGACTTCCTGGAATGGGCACAGAGTATGAAGACAATCATGTCTCACAAAAATGCCCAATAGGAGGCACATACTGTAGATAAGTCACTCAATAGGTGGACATAATAGGTGGACAATAATAGGTGGACAAGATGACTGGTCATGTAGATGTCAGTTAGCCTTTTTCCCCATCCACCCCACTAATTGCCCAATGGTCAGGTACAAGTGGCATGGTGATCGAGACAGAAGCTATGCATAAGCTTAATAGCATAAATTCCCCTCACCAAAGTTAATTTGGCCATCACCACTCATGAGTGCCAATATCAGAAGCCAACAATGAGTCCCCAATATAGCACCATTCCCTGGGGAGACCAGCCAGCCAAACGATGTTAAATTTACTTCATAGAAGCTCTTCCCTCATTGAGGACAGAAAAGTGTCCTCCTGGGAATAGATATATTTCCAGATTTTCTTCCCATGCCTCAAATGCTTTCATCAGAATCATCAAAGACCTACAAAGAATATTTTATAAAATACCACCAAGAAATCCCCATATGACATAAATTCTGACCAAGAAACTAATTTTATAGTGAAAAGGATGTGGCAATTGGCTCATACCATGGAATTTATTGGTTTTGGATATACATTATTACCCAGACACAGCTGGCCTTAAAGAACAGTGGAATGAACTTACTGAAGGCTCAGTTATGGTGGCAGTAGGAATATGGCACCCTAACAAGCTGGGGAGCTATCCTCCAGGAGAAGCACATGTTTAAAACCATCAACCAATATTTGATGTTGTTTACTCCATAGCTAAGACACACATGTATAGGAAGAGTCTCTCTTATGAGTACCTCTACAATCCAGTTAAAGAATATTTGCTCCTTGTTCTCACAATCTTAGTGTTGGCAGGTTTAGAAGTTTTAATTCCTAAGTGAAAAGACACTTCCAACAAGGAATACAGTCATGGTCTCACACTGCTGAGACTGCTCAGTCGTCATTTTGGTCTCCTCATGACACTGAGCCAACAGGCAGATACGGGTTTTCTATTGGCTGGGATACCTATTCCTAATGTTAAGGAGTAAGTAGATTATTGCATATTTCAGGACATCATAGTCTAAGGAAGCATCAAGGAGAAATTCTAATTTCAAGTTATCTCTGGTACACCAATCATTTTATTTTAAATTAACTTGACAATCAGGAACATGTGGTCTTGGGGAACCTGGATGGCACAGTCAGTTGAGTGTCCAACTTCAGCTTAGGTCATGATCTCACTTTGTGGGTTCGAGCCCCATGTTGAGCTCTGTGCTGACAGCTTGGAGCCTGGGGCCTACTTCGGCCCTTTCTCTCTTTCTCTCTCTCTCTCTGCCCCTCCCCAGCTCGCACTCTGTCTCTCCGTCTCTCAAAAAAAAATAAACATTAAAAAAAAAAAAAAGGAACATGTGGTCTAACATGAAATGTACAGAGGTGGGAATTCCTTTTATTAATTAATTGATTTATTTTTTATAATATCAATTACTATAATTTTATTTTTTAATATGAAATTTATTGTCAAATTGGTTTCCATACAACAACCAATGCTCATCCCAACAGGTGTCCTCCTCAATACCCATCTCCCACCCCCATCAACCCTCAGTTTATTCTCAGTCTTTAAGAGTCTCTTATGGTTTGGCTCTCTCCCTCTCTAACTTTTTTTTTTTTCCTTCCCCTCCCCCATGGTCTTCTGTTAAGTTTCTCAGGATCCACATAAGAGTGAAAACATATGGTATCTGTCTTTCTCTGTATGGCTTATTTCACTTAGCATAACCCTCTCCAGTTCCATCCACATTGCTACAAAAGGCCACTGTCTTTTTCAGAAAGAGACAGAGTGCAAGCGGGGGAGGGGAAGAAAGAGAGGGAGACAGAATCTGAAGCAGGATCCAGGCTCTGAGCTGTCACCACAGTGCCTGATGCAGGGCTCGAGCTCACAAACCACAAGATCATGACCTGAGCTGAAGTTGGATGCTTAACCGTCTGAGTCACCCAGGCACCCTGGGAATTCCTTTTTAAACTTCAGTCTAGGAAGGGGTGCCTGCCTGGCTCAGTCATTGGGAAGTGGGACTCTTGATCTTGGGGTTGTGAATTAGAGCCCTTTGTTGGGTGTAGAGATTACTTAAAAATAAAATCTTTAAAAGAATAAGAAATAAACTTTGGTCTGGGGAAAGCCTATGAAAGGTTAATCTGGCCTATGGATAAAAACAGAAAACTCAAACTTTTGCAAATCACATAGGAAAGATATCAAAAGTGGAAAAGCCCAGTTTATGATCACTGACTGAAAGGACAAAGTCTTCTGACACAAAAGCAGTTCAGAAAGAGAGAGCAGGGAGAATTCAAAGACCACAAAGAGGCTTACCATGAATACTCGGTCCTGGTCTGAGGGCCCCTCCACGCTCCTGGGCTCTGTGGTGCTCCAGATTTGTCCAAGATGGGTCAGATCACAGTAGAAAATTTGACCACTGATTCAAAGATGGTAGTAAGATTTTGTTATTAAATAAAAGCTCCGTACGAGAAGAAATGGAAAACACCAGAATGTGAAGAGTTCCTTGACTTGCTTGCCTTGCTTAGGGATGTGGCTTCTATCTTCCAAAAAGAAAAAAAAAGGTAAAGGATTTTCTTTAGATGCACTAAATCATGAGGCCAATTACATAAAGCAAATGATCACACCCTTGAGAAATTTTCCATGGAACTTGAGACTGAAAGTGTCCAGGATGGAGATACGAATGCAAGTCTGGAGTTCCGGATCCTAGGATGGAGGCTGAGAATCATTAGCACAGAAAAGATGTGCCAGCATTCCTGTCCCATGAGCCTTTGTAGTCCTTGTTCAACTTGTAGGTAATATGAGCGTTAGATGTAACAGTTCACCTTTTGATCCCAACCTTGTGCCAAACAGTATAGATAATGTTTTCCAGTCCTGGGCCCACATCTTCCAGGCAGCTACTCTCCCTTCATATCTCATGGGACAAAATGTTCCTGGAAGGGAGGCATAACAAGGGTCTGTTAGAGACTGTGAATCCTAAGTAGGAAGAATTTTTTTTTTTTTAAGAGAGAGAGAGCACGTGTGCACAGAGGGGCGGGGGGGGGGGGGGGGGGGGGAGGGAGGGAAAGAGAGAGAGAGAAAGAGAGAGAGAGAGGGAGAGGGAGAGAACCTGCAGTAGGCTCCACGCCCAGCATGGAACCTGACGTAGGGCTTGATCCCACAACCCTGGGACCATGACCCAAGCTGAAACCAAGAGTTGGACGCTCAACTGACTGAGCCACCCAGGCACCTGGGAAGAATTTTTTAATACTAAAGCTAAATAAAAGCTATACAATTTAATTCTCCATAGGTAAGTTAGTATGTATTTGTTATGCATGTTGCATATATGAGCTGGCAGGAATGTATGAAATTTTATGCTAAGCAAGAGGTCCATGTTACGGTCTATGCATGGACATGGCTGACTACACACTTGATGATGTGTGTGGGCTGTACTGAAGAAATGGAGGGAAAGTCATTCCGGCTGTTATAAGAAAAACTGGTAGTGGGCGCCTGGGTGGCGCAGTCGGTTAAGCGTCCGACTTCAGCCAGGTCACGATCTCGCGGTCCGGGAGTTCGAGCCCCGCGTCAGGCTCTGGGCTGATGGCTCGGAGCCTGGAGCCTGTTTCCGGTGCTGTGTCTCCCTCTCTCTCTGCCCCTCCCCCGTTCATGCTCGGTTTCTCTCTGTCCCAAAAATAAATAAAAAACATTGGAAAAAAAAATTTTTTTTTTAATAAAAAAAATAAAAAAAAAAAGAAAAACTGGTAGCAAAATAAAACTTTAAAACCAAACGTAAGGGGTGCCTGGCTTGGCTCAGTCAGTGGAGCACATGACTCTTGATCTCAGGGGTTGTGAGTTTGAGCCCCACACTGAGGGTAGAGATTACTTAAAAATAAAATCTTCTTAAATATAAATGAAATAAAACCAAAAGGAAAAATGGAAGAAGAAGAAAAAAAAAAGCCACTATAAGCAATGCAGTGATTTCCCCAGAACAGCCCCGGTGACTGACACTGGGCACGTTGCAACAGAATTTAGCAGCACTGTAGAATTCCATCAAAATTCACATAACTTTCAGTTCAACACGTTCCATTATCATTTGACAAGAGCTCTTCAGCTTCTCAATCTAGAGAAATGTTACAGTTTACAGGGGCTCTGTACCAAGTTTCATTACAGTGGAAGAGAAAATACACATTTTGGGCAATTTACCTTACGTCTTTCTCTCAACAAATAGCTGCTCATGCACTTTACCTTCTTAGGAATTTCTGTTTTTCGGGGCACCTGGGTGGCTCAGTCGGCTAAGCGTCCAACTTCGGCTCAGGTCATGATATCACAGTCCATGAGTTGAAGCCCTGCATCAGGCTCTGTGCTGACAGCTCAGAGCCTGGAGCCTGCTCAGGATTCTGTGTCTCCCTTTCTCTCTGGCCCTCCCCTCTCATGCTCTCTCTCTGTCTCAAAAACAAATAAACATTAACAAAAAATTTTTTTAAAAATAAAAAATAAAAAAACAAAGAATACGTTTTTCATCCATGTGAGGATGAAGCATTGATTCCCGGTTATGAGGTGTCTTAGGATGTCAACATGAAAAAAAGATAAATAAAAATACAATTAAATATTAACCTTAAAAATATTAACTTTGAACAATTTTTTTAAATGACCATAATTTCAGCTGTTTCTCTGGTAGCTCAGGTGAGTCTGGGATGGTGTTCCAGGTGGGAGTAGTGGGGCCATCATGAAATAGAAGAGGGGGTGTTCTGATGCCAGAAGCCACAACAGGGCCTCTGACCAACTGTTGAAGAGTATAAAGTTCCTAAAAAGACGGGGCTGACATCCTGGAAGATAAAGCAGCTCAGGCAGTTTCTAGTCCAGTCAAGCTCCCAGCCTCTCTGCTGTGCAGAAGGCTCACCAGGGAGTATGAGGCATGGAAAATACCAGAATGTGTGGCCATGGAAAGGGTCAGGGGAGTCAGGAGACGTGGTTTCAAGTGGAATGGCGTGGCTGCTGCAGTAATCTTAGCAAATATCCAGGTGCCTGAACTGAGTTGGTGTCCTGGTAAGTGAGGGAGGTTGGAGAACTGGTGCTCTCTGTAAGTGTAAGTTCTAGGGGTTCTAGCAGGAAGGGACTGAAAGCTGGTGGGCTGAGGAGTCAGAAAAGAGGATGGAGGGCCTTGAGATTTCCAGTGTAGAGAGTCTGCAGACGATGAGTAGGTTGGAGGACATTTCCTAGAAGTGGTCGTCTAGATTGAAGAGTAGCTGAATGGTGTTGGAGCTGAGGGGATAAAAAATCTGAAAGGGTTTGCGTGAGTGGGCCTCAGGGTGGACCATATACACAGGATGATGCCTGGCGTGACGAAGGTCAGAGGTGGTAAAACCAGAGGACACAAACCTCAGTGGTGGCATATCAGTAATGACTGGAAGAGGAATGGGGAGTGTAGAGAAGGGTGTTCTTTCTCCAGCCCTGTGAGAGAAGTGCTACCAGGGGCAGGCTCCACTCTACCCAACCCTTTCCAAGGTGTCCTGACTCTCAGGTTTCTGTGCATTTACACCCATCGTTCCTTCTGGCTTGAAGCCTCTTTGTTTTGTTGTTGTTGTTGTTTGATCTTTGTACATTTATTTTGTGAGCAAGAACATGCACACAAGTGGGGAGGGGTAGAGAGAGGGAGAGAGAGAATCCCAAGCAAGCTCCATCCTGGCAGGGCAAAGCCTGACCCGGGGCTCAATCTCAGTTTGTGAGATCACAACCTGAGCTGAAATCAAGAGCTGGACGCTTAAGTGACTGAGCCACTCAAGTGCCCCTGGCCTGAAGTCTCTTTCATTTCGTACCCTATTTCACCCAATCTAAGACACTATCAATTTAGTACACTAAATATCTTTAAAGATATCACTCTAACATCTTTAAAGACATCACTCTGACATCACTTCCAGTGTTAGGCCTTCCTCAACATTTTCAGGCAAAAATTAAACATTGTATCATGCTTCCTGCCTCAGGGTTCGGGTCAACCACCTCGATGGTAGTAATTCAGGCTCAACCACCACTAGTTCTGTGATTTCGAGCAAGTTACATGAGTAATCTCGGTCTCAATTATCTCATTTATAAAATGAAAATACAAACAATAAATACCTCAGTAGTATTTCTGTGAGAATTAGAAGAGAGAAGTTTATCATTTACTGCCTGACACATAGGCATTGCTTAACAAAAACCATCTTTTTCTCCATGGAGAACCTTGTAACGTACCTTAGCCATACACCCGCGGTCTCTTTGATAATCATTTGTTTATAGTCTGGTGATGTCTTTAGTGACAGAGACTTTGTCTCCCCACCCCATCTGTCATTAATGCCCGGCGTGAATCAGGGCTCCAGTGAATGTTGTTGAGATGACAGGGCCCAGCCTGAAGTGGATCTGCGCTGCAGAGGAACTGAGTAGCCAGCAAGTTTCAAGCAAATTTTGCTCTGAAAGGGTGCTAGAAACAAGAGAAATGTCTGGGGTTGGAATGGGACCACAAAGAGCGATTACCAGGAAACTTTGAGCTTTTACACAGAGGACTTTTGAATTTGGGTCAAGCCTAATGAAAACAGGACAGCCAGGGAAACAATCCAGCAGAGGGAAGCTGCCACCCACCATCTTGGGTCCAGTGGTTGATATTCATCCAGATTCAGGCAGGCTGAGAACCTCAAGAGAGGAAGCCAGATCCCACTAAGAGTCAGAACTCCAGTTAACACTGGTTAGTGAAGATATGTTACTGCGAAAGATGAATTTCCATGAGGTCGAGACCCAGAAACCTTCCTGGTTGGACGAAGACAAGCATGGAGGAACTCCCATGGTGGCCAGGGAGCTGTAGGCCCCAGGTAGGAAAGGCCTCTCTTATTGAGGCCCCTGTAGCTTGGAGCGCAGAAGCCTGAATGGTGGTGAGAGGGGCTGAGGAGACCCTCAGGCCTGAAAGCCCAGTCTACTTGAGGTTACCTTAAATTCAGAGAACTAAAGGATCTGTCCTCACAGTCTGAGCTCTCCTGAGACTTCAGCAATCCCTGAAAGGCAAGAGAAGTCTAACTGCCAGCCAAGTACAGGGAGCCCTGAGAGCCTATCCTCTTGGTTTTCTGACTCCAGGTTGAAGCTCAAAAAGTTTGAGGGGCCCAAATCTTGAGGAATCCCATAGAGAAACCTTTCCTTCTCCTCCCATCTGCAGGAATAAGAGAAAGCTCATTCCTCTTGCTAATGCCTAGCCCCCTCATCCTGCTGCCCTTCCCTGCTGACCTATGCAACCCTCCCCAGCCTGGCGCCTCGTTAGGCACGGGGTTTGTGAAGGGGGTATGGGAGGGAGGCACAGGGGCAGGGAGTTGACTGGCTGGCTGGCCAGCATCAGTATTGGGAAGGGTGGGAACACAGGATTATTTCTGCGGCCTGCACTAATGCTCACATCCCCCAAGACATCTAAGGGAGCTACTGGCCCTGACTGCAAAAGTGTGTACTTTGTCTTCCAATTTACTAGTCTCTTGACACTTCATGATGATTAAAAAGCAATATTTTTATGTACTGTCAGCAGGATTTTGATTGTGATGAATGTTATCATCTAATGGAATAAATCATTTATAATCACACCATGCTTTTCTGTGACTAGTTATTTCTACAGGTTGTATTATTTGCTCAAGAAATTCTCTCCAGGCATTAGATTTGACGCCTGCATTTTCACAGTTCAGAAGGTTCATGACTTATACATCTCACAGATATCCTTGCATCCTTGATTGATTGAGCCAGAAATACAAGAGCTGTCTCAGAGAAATCCCTCTCCCTACACTATCCCACCAGAAATCCAAGCTGTTACCCAGCCCTGTCAGTTAACTTTAATAACAGCTCCCAAAACTACTGCTTGCTTCTCACGCTGATTATCTCCAAGGAAATGGACAGGCATGTTCTGATGTGCAAACAGCCAGGAAGTCGAGGCCCAGAGTGTGGCGCTCTACTCACCAAGGGTGGGTTTGGCGAAGAGGCAGAGGGCTTAATTCACTCTTCATTCCCCACTCTCCATGCCTGAAGACTACCTTGCCCTTTGCCTACCAGCTAGTGAGGCATATTACAAATAAATAAGTAAAACCATATGGTAAAATGGTATAATAATAGCCAAGAAGACAATGGGAGAGAACAGAGTCAAGACCTGTGCAAGTACATGCACTCTGGATGTGACAGGTGGGGCCACAAGTCAGGGGAAAGGACACCTCAATGAGTGGTATTGGGACCGGTGGCTTTCCACATTAAAAAACATTGAGGGGCGCCTGGGTGGCTCAGTCGGTTGAGCGTCCGGCTTCGGCTCAGGTCATGATCTCACAGTCCGTGAGTTCGAGCCCCGCGTTAGGGTCTGTGCTGACAGCACAGAGCCTGGAGCCTGCTTCAAATTCTGTGTCTCCCTCTCTCCCTGCCCCTCCCCTGCTCATGCTCTGCCTCTCTCTGTCTCCAAAATAAATAAAAACATTAAAAAAAAA